GCAAGTGTGTGAACCTGTCCGGCTGTGTCTCTGAGAACTTGTTTGAGCTTCAGACAATCAAAGTTATTAAATGTTGTAAAAGAAGATCAACTCTCATGTTCGCACGCCTTCTAAACGGCCTGTTTGAGGGCTAAGACTTGGTTTTAACTTCTAGGTAGAGTTAATTTTAGGTTAGGGAGAGGCTGGGAGTGCATTCATTTAAATGACTGTGCCAAGCAACCATGCTTTTGTATTTATATACTCTACTACAAACAGAGTGGAGCGGGCAGTAGTTGCTGTCTTTGAGTGGGTTTGGCACAGCATTTACTCGTCTTTCCAGCAGCGCACATGCAGAGTGTGGTGAAAGCTGCGAAGAATAGGGGGAGTGTTAGTGGGATAACAAGAACTAAAAACACTGAGTCATGCAAGGTGGCGAAACAAGACATTCAGTGATCTGAGTAACAAGAGGGGAACAGGTTCTCCGTCACCTTTCAGACTCCCGATCCACCTCCTCTGTTGTAGTGTGATTTTTATTATAACAGCAAATCATTCATCAGATGTCACACATATTCTTCCACACGTCACTTTAATCTCACCAGCTGCCAGATGGCTACAGCGCCCCCTGGAGGCTTGTGTTTTCCACTCAGCTGCACGGGGAGAGCTTTACCAGGATGGTGGCCGGCCTGATGAAGCAGGGGCCCACCCTGCTGCTTATCAGAGACACCAAGGGGCAGGTCTTTGGGGGCTTCGCCTCCCACACCTGGGAGGTCAAACCTCAGTTTCAGGGTAAGTATGCCTGTATGACTTACACACCACAGACTAATGCTGCAAAAGAGCTGAAGTCCACCTGTTGTGCTCATTTTTATTCTTGCACTGTTTTTGGGTAGCTTTGCATGATTCACAGCTTGAAATGATCCTTCTTTAAGTAGTATTGTCTTCCTTGATGGGAGTTTCTATAATCAGAATCATATAAAAGGACAGATGCATATATGATTTGCCACAATGTTACTTCATTAATGTCATTTTTTTCTCCAAGCTTTCCTGTTTCCTCTAAAATGTAAAAAAAGGCCACAAAGTGAATATTTTAATATTTTATTCTAACATTTAGCCAAGTGAAATAAATCATTCTGATTGTGGTCCTACAAGAAAGGACCGCACAAATCACAGTGACCTGTTTTTGAGAGCTGCTGGCACTGTCATAAAACCAAGTAATACATCCAGATTTAAAAGAAAAATCAGTGAATGTTTAACTTCGCGGGTTCGAGTCACACCTGTCTGTGCATCTTGAGACATCTGTAAATGTCAAATCACTGAAGCATCATTTGGTTTTTCTCTAAGGCGCTCCACAGCAGTACGTAATCGGATGAGATTTACAGCTCAGTAAAAGATTAACCACAAGAAAGAAAATGTGTCGGCTCTAATAGATACAAATATGTCAGGCAGCAGGTAGAGACTCATCTGAAAACACAGATGAAGTGAAACACTGAGGAAGTAACAGCACTGCTTTGAATACTGTGGGCTGTCACTTGACTTTCCTCTCACATCTTCATAATTTGTATATTTGTGTGTGTGTGTGTGTGCAGGTGACTCCAGATGCTTCCTGTTCACTGTGAGCCCCAAACTGAGAGTTTATACAGCAACAGGATACAACCAACACTTCATGTACCTCAATCAGAACCAGCAGACCATGCCCAACGGACTGGTGAGACCACACTCGTTCAGCTGGAGAGAACTTGTTAATGGAGTCATCACAGATAACCTCTTACTTTTACCAGAGCCTTAATATCTTTAGAGAAGCTGTATGTGATTTAGGGAACATAGCAGTTTTTAAAAAGCTTTGTTTTTTACCCTTTTATCTAAAAACTCTCCTGAGGTGTGAGCTGAGCATGTTGGTTATCTCTGACCTGATGGTAGCAGTGTTGGCTCACTGATCCAACAGCTACACTCGGTGATATCAGCGTGCACCTGTTGTTGTCACAGTGCAGTGACGGTGTCGTATCTGGGCTTCAGGTGTAACGTAGAGCTGCGCTGTCTTTGACATTTGAGGGTCTACAGATGATAGTCAACAGAAATGTGCCAATGATGACTCGAATAATTGGACAGCAGATTTAAAAAGAGTAAAAGTTTCGATTTTGTCCAGAATCAGAAGCGTTTCAACAGGAAGTCCCACAGAAGTGCAGGAATATCTCATCATCATGTCAGCGGTGCAGTGAGCAGGTGGCTCTGTACAGCAGCTATGTTCAGCCTGACCTGACAAACTAAGCACATCTTCTGATCATTTAGAAATCATTTGAACATTTCATAGGTTCCTCAGCGTGGACGCAGCGGCTCCTGTCCACGTTTGGACTTTTGTGTCAGTTTCTCAGGCGTTTCACTTTGACTTTCACCTGCTGGTTAGATTTCAGCATAGAAAAGTGCTCGATTGGTTTCCTGAACACAGCGGCTAAAGAGACGATATTTATTTATTTGCCCCCGAAAAAGTAAATGATTTGTTTTGTGTGACCTGCTTGTGTTAACTGACATAAAGATGTGTTGTCTGGTGTTCATCAGGGGATGGGCGGTCAGCACGGCTATTTCGGCCTGTGGCTGGATAGCGACTTTGGCCGCGGTCATAGCCGGGCACGACCCAAGTGCACCACGTATGGCAGCCCTCAGCTCTCTGGAGACGAAGACTTCACCCTGGACTCCGTGGAAGTGTGGGCTGTGGGAAAACCCGCAGAGCCCGAGGAGGTCAGAGTACTTGTTCAAATTCTTCTATAAACTTGTTCAAAATAAAGACCCGTGCTGACCTAGAGTCAGAAGGTTTGCACTGGGTGTTAGTCGGTGTACCTGGAGTCAACAATGTGTGTCTGTCTGAACACAAACAGCCAAACAAACATCTCCGTCAAACCAAAGAAATACATGTTTGCATTTTGTGTGATTTGGGCCTTAACTAAAGTTTCTGTTTAGAGCCCATTTTTAGTGTTTGCAGCTTTTATGTCTAATCCAAAGAAAACTGCTCGGATAGTCGAGCAGGGCGACATGAACAAAAATATTTATCATGATATACATTTGAAAATTTGCGATAACGACATAACTGACGATATAATTGACACTAGACAAAATACTTTACAACTCCACAACTTTATTAGTGCAAAAAAAATATCAATGTATTTTCACTTAAACAAGCAGCTGTTTTTTTATCTGCATTAAAGTTATATAAAAATTTAACAGTGCAAATGCAAATTTCTTGCTGACAGTTTAACCAAAAGGCATTTCCAGTGGAAATTGGCCGACATATCCTCAGCATAACCATGTATAACATCCACAAAAC